TGCCAGAATATCCAGGTGAGGCATCTTTTGTTCAGTTAATCCAACATGTCGGAGGTAGAGTCACTCTGATGCCTGCAGCTCACTTTAGGCCTTGAGGAACTGAAAAGGGACAGCTTACCTGTAACCCCCATCCAACCCCAGCATCAAGGATTCATTGACAATGCAACGTCATGAAGCATGTTGTTTATGGGGAACACCTCTCCGCTGAGCCCACCGTCCTCCCCACCACCATTAGGTTTCTTTCTTATAGTCGCCCCACCCAGCCGACCCCAATCTGCACTTCCCCCTGTGCACTGAACCTTATTTGGCTAATGATCCCTGCACACAAAAGACATAAGGCTTCTGCCATTGGCACACGAGCTATTGAATATCTCCAAAGACTTCTCTCCAGGGGTGTGCAAGCAATCCTCTTTAGTCCCAAGTGGCAGAAGTACCACGTTTTGAGGTGCTTCTGTTGTCTTCATGGGGGTTCTCTTTTAGTATGGTCTTAAAAGTATGTGAGAACCTATGGGTTGAAACCAGTGCCTTGAAAAGATTACCTGAACCATCAGTGCATTGACCGTAAAGACCTGCTCATGGGCTGAGAAAATCCCAATCTAAGCCCACTCATGCTGTGTGGAAAAATGTAGCTCAAGAAGTTTATAAAACAACCTTCAGGACTTAACTCCACCAGACTTCAGTTGCCCTGTCTTTAGTCTAAAAGATTGTAGAGGTTCATGGTAGAGATGAAATAAAAGCCTTTGGGAATCTAGAAGAGTCTGTTGTGTTTTCCTTATCACTCTGGATATGTTTGCAATTTGTATTTTAGGATAATTTGGGGGGGTCAGATTTATTGTAAAATTTCTCAGCATGTTGCTTTCCTTTTCCTCACAATGGTTGTTAATGACTTTGAAGTTAAAATATTTACATTGTGGAATCTCAGTATTTCCTTTGTGGTTTCTTTTACTGCTTTTAAGCTGGATTTTTGTCCACCCAATATTTTCTTCTCCTTTTTAGCAGTTTGGTATTTTTTAACACTTAGGTCAAATGGATGGTGCAATGCTATGGTCTAATTAGCTTCTTCTCAAATAGTGGACTATTTTTCCCAGTTCTGCTTATTAAATAATCCCCAATTAAATATTCCCAACACTGCTGGTGAGAAAAATGTTAAATGAGCCAAGGGCAAAGTGCGACGAGTCAGGCTGGCTGGCTGCCCCCACCAGCAGGTCTGGACGGCGGGTGGGGAACGTCTAGCATCAGGAACGCAGGTACCGCCCAGCCCCGCCAAGAGTGAGGCCACCAGCTCTGTTTACTCAGAGGTAAACCCCTCCTAAGCCCCCACTTGCCCACTCCCCACCCCTCCCTGGCCTCCCACCCTCTATGGCACAATGCATCTGCTGCTTCTTGGAAGTGCTGGTAAAATTCTTGGGAGGAACTTCTGCCCAGATAGATTTTGGAGATTACCTGGGGATTTCCACAAACTGGGCCAGGGCTCCCATCTTCTCCTGATGGGCTGCTGCTGACTTCTCCAAAGACCCTGACCACCTGACCACCTGACCACCTGACCACCAGCTGGGAGGTATTAGCCCATGCCTCCCAGCCGACAGGCAAGCAGCTTAACGCTGAGCGGACCCCTCACCTGTTCTGCTGCTAACTCACATTACTGTGGAAAGACGGAAGAGACATGGAAGGGACACTCTATAATGGTTAAAGCCACAAACTTTAGAGTCCCAAATACCTGGATTAGAATCACTAAAATTTACCTGCCAAGATAAGGGCTAAGTTACCTTCACTGAGTCTCGAATTCTACATCCCTAAAACGGGCATGACAGTAACAGGCTGACCTCTTGGGGCACCCCTAAGGATCACTGAACACGGTTAACTAAATCTTCAGCACTGCAGCAGTTAGTACTTGGCATAATGACTTTATCTGCCACAGGGGAATTCCTACTATGGTTTTCAAGGTACAAAGAGCCACAGCGTGTCTGGCTCATATTTAGGACCTCAGTAATGAATCAATTTCCTTCTGGCATTCACTTTCCTGCAGCTTTCTGCCCCTCTTCTCCCCCCACTTGCCTACCTGGTCACCCTTTCGTCAATATTTATTCTGTCATTATAGCCCTGACCCAAGGTCACACATGCATCTCAGAGCTTGCCCAGAAGGTCATGATACTTGCAGATTCCCACCACCTGGTAGGCCCGGGGCTTTGAAGTTTGCGTACAACCTCTCCCAGGACCACCTTCTACCATCCTTGGTAGATGACCTGAGAGATCGGCCCCCATCTAGGGACAGAGACCCACGTCTGTGAAGGCTGCTCCCCTGAGCCCTGCACCCAACACGTCACGAGCGCTCCACCGTGGGCTCTGAAGTTGAGAGGCTGGCCTGAAGTGTGGGTCAGGCCCAGCCCACGGTGGGTGTTTGTGCTCCGAGTGCCAGGCGAGGCCCTTGACCAAAATGCTCTGCCCGCCATGCTGGTTGCAGAGAACCTCGGAAGTCATTTCAAAATGGAGGTGCCAAACCACTGGACTCCTGGTCTCTTGGCAGCTAGGGTGGAGAAGGTGTCAGCGAGGCAGAAAGACTAACTTGGGAGCAAGGTCTGTTTCCGGCGTGTAACAGCAGGGGCCACGGGTCTTCTCATTCAGCCCCCAGCCCTGCCTGCATTAGAGGGTCCTCTCTGTAGAGACGAAGGTGCTCAAGTCAAACACCTCGCTTCAGGCATGGCAGAGTGGCCCGAAAAGCTCGACTGAGTTTTCTTTTCCCCAGCAGAAACTGGACAGGGGCGACAAGGGGGTGGGGGGAAGGGCAGGGACGTGAAAGGATCCCAGAACCTAACACCAAATGCCTTCCTGTGACTCTGCCCGGGGCCATCACGTGGGGCCATGCTTGTGTGAGCACGCTTCTGCTGAAGGGGCTGAGGAGCAAGGGCGCACACACGGGCCCGTCTGTGCGCGGTGAAGGGACGTCCGTACCGTACGGATCAACGTCGGCAATCCGTACCCGCACGTCCCGTTTAAAGGACAAGGATCGGTGGTAGGTCGCTCAAGAGCCCAGTGGTAGACACTTGGTGCACTGACCACAAGGGTCAACGAAACACTTTCCTCTGCCCGCCCCCCCGCCCAGAAAAGGATCAGAGGTGCACTTCATCAGCGTATTTCAACCAGGTATTTTATTGTTCTGGCAACTGCAAAATATACAAATTTCTGAAAAGCATCCCATTTGAAAAGCTGGCACACCCTCATCCCAGGTCATTAATTCTGACAATATACAGAACACAGAGAAAGTCGTAAGTCACACGTAAAAGGCCCCCAAACCAACCAACGAACAACTAAACCCGATCTATACAGCTTTCTATTTTCAGGCTCCCTTATACATATTAAATAAATAAATAGCACATCTGCTATCAAAATAATAAAAAAATAAATTTCAAGTATTACAAACGAAAACATCATTGGTGTGGTTGTTTCTCTTCTCCCCGCGAATGACGAGCATCGCCCGTGGTCTCAGGACAGAGTAAGGACAGGGGGTAAGCCCACCCAAAAACAACTATGCCGAGTTAACAAAATTGGTCCCAGATATTTTTCGGGGGGTAAGGCGGGAGAGGCGATGGAGTATCAGTAGCCCCATGACCACAGCTCAAACACACGCTCCGTCCAGTGCCTCGAGTCCGATCCCGGCTTTCAGTCGGGAAGCGTTCTGCTCTCTCTAGGGTCTCTCTCCTCCTCCGTGTTTACGTCCTCTCGCCCCATCTGGGCCCTCACACACGAGTGTTCGGGATGTTCACTTCCGGAGGTACTGACCTCAGCAGCTGGAGGCCGGGGGAGGGCACCCACACACAGCCCCAGGTGGATCGGTAGGAAGGGTCAAAACTCAGAGTTGGCTCTGGCGGCCAGCGTGACAAGGAGGCCAGAAAGAGGGACTTAAGAAAGCTGTCCTCAAGAGCAGAGCTGCAGGCCCCTCGGTCTAAAAATACGACCGAACTACAAGCACACGCTCGTGCGCGCACACTCGCCGTCTGACGAGACTCGAGATGGCAGGAAAGGGAAAATAACCATCTTCGGCCACACAGGAACACAGGTACGCAGACATCGTTTCGGGCAAAGTGCCCAACTGGGGAATTATGGGGGAGCATCTGAATGTTTCGGTGTGAAACCCACGAACTTGACTGTATGGTATCGGAAGCTTGTCCCAATGTCCCACTGAACCCCAACCAGAAAAACACGTGTTGTCCAGTCCCCAGTCTGGATGTCCAAGCCCCCCACCCCCACACCCCGAGCCCACTCCCAGTACACGTCTCTGTCAGCTTAGAGGGGTGAGACTGTCCGACTCAAAAGCAGAGGGCGAGCAAGGGAAGTGACCTTTGGCACCAGCTTTTAGAGATTCTTCAAAGGGTCATTTGGGCAAATTCTACCACGGAGTCTCCAAATCATTTCTTCTGGGCCTCAGGACACCTCCTCATCCCCAGTCCATGGAGGCAGCAAGGAGAAACCAGTAGGCAGAAACTACAGGTATTCAGAACCACATGTCCCACAAGCCCTGCTCTGATCCACCCCCAAAAATGCCACAGGAGCCAAAGGCAAGTGAGGACATTCTCTTCTTCAGAATAAAGCAACCCAGGACCATGCTGGGTGTATAGCAGATGCTCCACAAAAATATGCAGGATTGAGCTCAGTCCCGCCAGGAGACCACAGACAGCCTCTTGGAGGATGCGGCCACAGGGGACGTCTCGGCTGGGCCACTGTCCCCATGTGGGAAGCACAGGGAGACGATGAACATCCTGAAGGAAGGAGGCCAGAGGCTTGATCATCTCTGCTCCAACTCCCGGGTCAGTCTTGCAAGGATCCGAACAACTTGCTGCCCGCTGGTTGACTGGGGTCCCTCTGAGCTCCCCATCTCATGGGCATGCCCCATTCCCCACATGCTTTCCGAGCTCCAGCCTCCAAGGGCACGAATCCCAAACATCAAGGTTCCTGAAGAGAAGGTGCAACTTTCCCATCCCGCCTTCTGCCAGTTAAGAAAAGTGCAAGAGCAAGCAGCTCAGGGGGGTGGGGGAGGGGGGAGGCCCTGGGGCTCTTCTGGAACAATATTTCCTTTTGCTGACACAGCCAGACTGTCCTTGAGCGTCTGCAGAGGCAGAATGCAGACCCAGGAAGGAAGGTGTGTGGCCCCGCGGCAGGTGGCTAACGATCAGACAGGCGCGTCTGGCTCAGAGCCTTCTCCCCGCACCTCTGGCCCCAGCCCAGTGCAGGCCTGAACCCTTCCTTCACGAGGCAACGTCTGAGCCACGAGGCACAGAAGAGCCTTGTAAAAGTTTTCACCAAGGTTGTCACCATCCCTTCCTCTTCAGCAACTGGGATCTAGGCCCCCCTTTAACTTTAGGATTCTGGGGCCAAGTGTCATCTCCCCAAGCTGGGAACATACCAGGTCAGGATCATAGAAACTAAACAAAACAAAACAGCGTGGAGGCCAACATCCCCTCCTCGGGGCCTTCTCCCAGCTCCTCTTCGACGGCTCATCATCCTTCCTGAGCCGTGCGGAGGATCAGCGAGGCCAGGGAGAGGGCGCGGACCCCACACACGCCCCCGGGAGAGGCCTCTGGGGGTCTCAGCCGCCCTGCCGCGGTCGGGGGCCTGGTTCTCTCCGACCAGCAGGCCCCTCTTCGATCCCACCCACCCCGTTCCGGAAGAAGTCCTGGGGATCGCTGGCCTCGGGTAGATGGGAAAAGCACTAACTAAGCTGCAGGAATGGAACTGGAATGGAACCGCCGGGTCCGGCCTCAGTGTGTCCTGGAGTCGATGCTGCTCTGGGTGCCTTTCATGTTCTGTTTCCAGGAGAAGAGAGGGGCGAGGAAAGGGAATTATTATTTCCTGTCCACGAGGCTTCCTAAAGCCCAAAAGACTTAAAGCCATGCGATGGAGACCACGTCCCTCCCTCAGACAAAGAGCACGACCCCAGAAGAGCGTCATCGCCAAACGGGCAGAAGAAGGCCCAGGTGGCCTCCAGGGCCGTGGTGGAAGTTAAGCCCAACGTCGCCCCACAGAAGGGCCTGGGCAAGGCTGGGCGAGGGCCCTTGGGGCAGAGGCCCGGCACCTGCTTCTAGGAGGCGGGGGGGAGAACAGGCAGCTCTCGTGGGTCGGAGCTCCGGGCAACACCGAGCGCCCGCACTTAAGGAGCCCTCCAGCCCTTGGCCCTTTAGAGCCTGGACACCGGCCCGCCCGCCCCCAGGGCAGGAGATGGGCCAGGGGCCCTCCGACGAAGCATCCGGACTCTCCTCCCAAGTAGCTCAAGTAGACCGCGCGTCCGGCCCTTGGATCCCAGATTCTAGGAACGGGCTGGGCAGCCAGAACAGGGGTGCCACTGGCCGGAGGGACGGCACCAGGGAGGAGCCAGGCAAGGACGCCAGGCAGGAAAGGACGCGTGTCACTCAAGCTCTCTTCCTGTTGTAACAAAAGCAGTCCTTGCTGGAAGTCCCACCCCTACCTATGGTGCTGACCAGGATCAAAACCCCCTCAAAAAGCTGTTTCTCAGTCAGCTGGGGCCGGAGGGCAGCTGCCAGGGCACGCGGCACGCTCCTCGCCTCACCTCCACCCGCCTCACCAAGAAAGGAAACAGCTGGTCCAAGTGCTCTTTCCCCTCCTGTCTCCGCCCAGGCCGTGTGAAGGGGGCAGGGGGAGGGGGAGCGGAGGCGGGCACACAGGGGTGCAGGGATCCTGGCGGCCCCCTCTGCTCCCGCGCAGAACCAAGGGTCCGCGGTGGGGACGCCTGGACGGAAGAGACTCGCAGGACCCGCAGCCCCCACTCAGCCCAGGCCACCTCCACCTCGGGTCACAGGTCCATGAGGCGGTGTCTGTGGGTGGGGGTCTCCCCAGGAGGACCTTGCAGCCTTGCAGCCCACCACTTAGGGAGTGCGAGGCGCTGCCCGGCCCCACTGCAGCTGCCGGCTCCACCCGGCCCTCCGACCTCGCACGCCCACGGCTTTGAGCGCCCGCGGATGATGACGAATAGAACAATGACACTGGGGAGTGCAGGCACGGGCCACGTCACATCACTCACGCATGGTGCCCTGGCTCAGGCCATATGGAGGGAAACAAGGAAACGAGAGAAAGAGAAAGAGAAAGAGAGAAAGAGAGAGAGAGAGAGAGAGAGGACCTCGAGACAATGGTGCTGCTCTTAAAAAAACACGTGTTCTCCGACACGGGGTGTATGAGTCACAGACTTGACAATGGCCAGTCTCCACACAGACCGAGATGCCCGGACAGGCTGAGATGCCATGCCTCAGGGAGAGGTGGAGGGGACAGAGAGGGGCATGCACCGAGCCATTTACCTTTCCAAGGTTAGTAAGGAGAAAACTTTGAGAAAATGTGACAAACAGTTCGTCTTTCAAGCATAGTGGGGGGAAGGGAAGAACATGTTGGAAAAGAAGAACAGAACAAAACATCTTTAGTAGTATCTTCTTTTTCATGTGCATTTGAAATTTAAAAATCAAGGATGCCCGATGGTCTGCCGCCCAGAGCACTAGTGCTGCCAGCAGGGGAGGACAGCAGAATGCGGCATCCGACCCGGCAGGCGGGCCCGTTTAACCAGGAAACCACGATCTCACGATCTCGCTGGTGTCCTCAGGCCACAACCTGTAAGCCCCCAGGGGTTCTCCCCACTCCCCAATCTCCTGGTGCTCCTGCTGCTCAGGAGAAGAAACCCCACTGGCCTATGCAGAAGGAACAGGGTGGCATCCAAATGCAGAGGGAGCGCAAACCCGAGCACCTTGGGCATCCCAGCAAAGCACAGGGCACACACAGTCTGTCCCGTGATAACGGCTAGTGTCTGCCGGGCACGGACTATGTGCTGGACGTTCTGCTAAGCTCCACATCTATATTCTCATGATCAAAACACCTTGCGCTGTTCCTGTCTCCATGTTACAGACGAGGAAGCAGAAGTGCTAGAATTGCCCAGAAGTCCAAAGATGGAGAGTAATAAAACCAAGATCCAAACCAGGTTTGGTTTGACTTGAGTAGTAAAAGTGGGTATCTGTGATCTCAGACGTGGCCTCACACTCCCAGGCGGGGCTGGACGCTGGTGCAGGTGTGACGGGTCCAGAGGATATACTTTTGCTGAACTGCATGGATTCTAGCCAAAGGTACTCTAAGCCACAGAGACAGACAAGTTCAACCTTAAAAGGTGGGGAGAATGTGCCCGAGGGGCACCCTCCCAGCAGGAAGGTGTCTTTCCTGGCAGCATCAGGCCACGGCTCAAAAGCAACAGGATGTGCACAGATGCAAAAGTAGAAGCCTCCAAATCCAAAGGCTAGTTTTCACACCAGGAGAACTCTTGCTCTAGAAGCACTCGGTTACAACGCCCCTACCAAACAGGGGACAGATTGTCTTTAAGACTGAATTTCATGGACAGGCCCAGCAGTAAGTAAACACACCCTAGCTGCAGAGGGCAGGTGCATGGGAGAGGCTGCAAGAGCTAGAAAGGACATCCAAGCAGCTCTGGGCGATGCCCCACGGGCCTCAAACGTCAGAGGTGCCCCGGCCAGCGGTAGGTGAACAGTGCCTTGACTGTTGCCAGAAGCCAGCACAGAGAAGGCAGTCAGCCTTCAGGAGAGGCAGACAGACCCATTCAAGTCCCAGTTCTGCTATTGACTAGCTGGACGGCCGTAGGCAAGGGCCTTACCCTCGTCCATCTGGTAAAAAAGGACAGAGCTGCCCTACAGACGTCCTGGAGTTATTTTAAGGCCCAAAGACACGGAACATACGCAAGCAAGCAAGCCCATTCTCCGTGAGCTGTAAAGCATCGCCAAATAGATTTCGCTGCAGGTGGGGCCACCTAATCCCAGCACGATGCTAAATGACCACTTTCCAAGAACAAGCCACACTTTCAAGCTCACAGGCTGGACTCCTCAAGCCAGTTCCATTTCTGCATCAATTAGTCAAGGTCACCCAATCAGCAAAAAGGAGGATGGGCAGGTAGTGACCGGAAGGGTTGGGGCAGAGGGTATATCACGGCAGCTGTTAATGGAACTCCAAGATGGAAGGCCTCGGCTCCTTCCGTGGCGGGGGCCGCCGGAGCAGTGGACACACTAAATTATCTAGCAGCTTAACAGAAACTTAACCAGAAATTCTGACACTTAACCAGAAACTTCCTGCAGAACTCCGGCTGAAGGACAGGGGAAACCAGTGGTTCTGATTCGAGCGCTGCACCCAATCCTGGTCGTGACCATTAAGGCTAAGCAGATGCTGGTACAGGACAACCAGATCCACAGCAATGGTTCCCCAACAGACCTCCCCAGAGAGCTAGGGTCTTGGAGCCCCCACAGGAGTGGGTCTCTGCTTGGACAGAAGGGAGAGCCTGCAGGGTTGCAGGCCCACCACACCCGCTCCCCCCCGCCACCCCAGAGCCTGTCCTCCTCTGTTTTGCAGACGAGGCCCTGGGTTACTTTTCCTTTCAACATGAAAGGCCTCTCCTAGAGGAGGCACAGAACTTAAAAGATGATGCATCGGGCATAAGACCCAGCCTGGCACCAAAATCGGACTTGAGGGAAAAAGGTAGGTTTATATCAAGCCAGGCCCACCGCAAGTACTAACAGTTAACGAGGACCCCAAGGGACATGCAGGAAGGCAGCTGTGGCAAGCGGGGCAGCAGGACGCGCCGGAGACAGCGGGGCCACGTTGCTTCTTGCATCTTTTTCTAAAAATTCATGAATCCCCTTCCCCCTCCCCCAAGGCCGTCTTTCTCTGTCAGATATGACCAAAACTGTCATGGTCCTCCACATGTTATCAGGCGGGAGGCCAAACTGGCAAGGAGAAAGAGGTGTGAGAAGCAAAATTATTCAGAGAAAAATACTTACAAACAGGCTTTCCCTAGCAAAGGCTGCAGAGAGAAAAAGTGGAGAGAGAGAGAGAGAGAGAGAGAGAAGTCAGTAGAGGGACAGGGTACAGGCCCCGAGTCATTTGAAACCAGGACATCCTCTGCTGGGACCAGCCTGGCCCCACCCGATGGCTTCCAGACTTCCTGAGGATCCGGCCTGGCTACCTCCAAGGACTGTCCTGTCAAAGTCGGGGGCGCCCCAGCCGTGCATCCTCCGTGACCCCGCAGCACAGGCCCACGTGCCACCCAACCCCGGCCCAGGCCAGTCCCCCCAAGCACCTGTGGCAGCAACCTCTCCAGTTCCAACCGTGACCCCACAATTTACACCTAAACTGAATGTCACCCACAAACCACTTCAGTTCTCAGTTTTCATGAAAGGACACGATAACATCTTACAGCTCGTGCCAGGGGCGGCCGCCACCGTGTGAGACGCTCAGCACGAACGACCTCGTCTGACCCGCCTTTTGCAGTAAGTGCTATTTCCCCTTTCCACAGACGGGAAAACTGAGGCCTGCAGCGGTTCGGTGGCCTGCCTGAGGCTGCCCGGCACTCTCCCCCACAACGCCAAGTCCAGACACCACGAGATTTATATGAGGTTCAGGGGAAACACAGCAATAGTTTGGGGGCCTCGGCACTGAGCTCTCAAATCCGATTTGAGATTCAGCCTGTGAGTTATTTGTGAAGAGCCCAGACGTAGTGGGTGGAGATGGGGGGCAATCTTGAGGAGGCCCCCAAATCCGTGCCTGGGAATTTCTAGGTCTCCCGTATTGGCAAAGAGTCCTGGCTGCCACTGAGGAAAAGATGCTCTTCTGAAAATAAGCCTTAATGCCCAAGAGCCAACATCCGTCAGCTTTACATCTTCACAGCAAATTAAACTAGTGAAATCTAGCTGGGTTTTTGCTTTTTAGTGTCTTTACTATGTGGGGTTATGTGGCATCCATGCTGTGTGAGAAAGTCGCTCTTCCCAGGCCGTCCTGCGAGTCTGGCTGCCCAGGCTCTACCCCGGCTCTGGAGGAGAACATGCTTTTCTACAACAGGGACCGTGCAAGGAAGCACGGAAGAAGATTCTCGGCCATCAGCCTGGGACAGAAAAGACGTCCTCAGGCCACACGTGGCCAATGACCCAGAGCCAAAGGGAGACTTCTGAACTAGGCCTTTGTCTTCAATTTTGTTCGAGAAAAAAAGTATTCGGGAATGTGAGTGGTACCCAGACACCTGGCCATTTCTCCTGCTCTGCCCTGTTTTGCCCCGGGAAGAACAGCTGCTCAGAAAGGAGGCGTGCACGCGCGCAGCCGTGATCAGCAAGGAAGGACCCCAGGGTGCCACAAACCTCGGTGGGGGGGGGGGGCATCCCCATGTTCTCTCCCTCCCCCACCCGCACACGCAGGCCTGGGTCTGAGGCCACCGCTGCCCCCAGGGGGGCTCTCCTCCCACCCCACACTGACTGTGAGAAAGGAAAGGGGTCAACGCACTTGTCCGGGCAGCTGCGTGGGCACCTCCGGGGGCAGGCAGTTGGGCAGGGCAGCGGAGGTAGAAGCCACATGCTCCTCAAAGCTGTTGATGCGAGGCTTTTTGGTGGGCTCGGGGCTGGCTAGTGGGGTGACACTATTGCGTCTCATGAGCGGGTTAGGTCCCTTCTTTGCATCCTAAGCGAGACAAAGACAAAAGAGAGAAGGCGACAGTTACAAGGAGTGGGGAGGTAAATAAGCCAAAAAAAAAAAAAAAAACCCCAAACAAAACAAAACAAAAAAACCCCAAAACCAAACAAAACACATTTCTCTACTTCTGGATTTTACAGATTCGAGACTGACCACAGTGCCTGACCCTGGGACCACGGGCTTGCAATTCTGTCCTGTGACTCCCAGTTGGTAAGAACGAGGGAGGATGTGCTGAGCCTCTTTCCCGAAACATTCCAAGATGCCCACTCGGACAAACGCAACGTTCACAAAGCAGGCGAGGGACGGACAGCAAGACCAGCTCTGCGGGCAGTCATTCAGGGACAGCACATAATGAGATCAGAGGAAAGAACCTTGTTGCCAGCCTCTGAGAGAGCCGAGAAAGGGAAACGGAGGCCTGAGTACGAGGCTCGGGTCACCACGGAGGGAACAGCCAGGAGGGGCAGGTGGGGAGGAGCCAGGGCTGGTCTCTCCCCACTGACCGCGAGCCAGGGTGCGCACAGCAGACACAGGATGGTTCCTGCTCCCCATTACTACACCCCGGCTTAGGACAAGAAATGCAAGCTTCGACCCCCGCCAGGAGAGCAAAGAGGCAGAAAATCGGAGGTGGGCAGAAATGGCAAGCCAGGGCCAAACACTAGCCTTCCAATCGAGTGACAACGCAACAGGAGCGAGGACTTCTGTCCCAAGGCCCTGGGACCCTGAAGCCTGCAGCCCAGGAGCCTGAGCAGAGGTCAGTCTCCCTCAAGACGCTGCCCCAGTCAGTTCCACACAGCGAGGCGCTCAGGGACCATCGGAGCCCAGTGGAGGCCCAGCCTCGCTGGCGGAGTCAGACTGGGAGGCTGCTCCTCACCCCACCACCCACGTTCAGAAGCGGAGGCCGCCACAGGGCCAAGCCTGGCTGTCCATCCTCCTTTCCCTCTGGTCAACCAGCCGCGCAACGGCTGGTGGAAGCTGGGACTTTCATGCCAAAACCTTGTGGCCAAGCTCCTTGGGAACAGGGAGGTAGGTGTCCTGTGCGGACGGGAACATCACACTCCGTGGAAGAGAAAAGGGTCAACTGGTGAAGCGTTGTGGTTTGACAGATAGTCGGTGGAAAGTAAACCCAGCGTTCCTTCCCAACCACGCCCGGGCAGCGGACTGCTGTGCCCGTGGGGTCTCTGACCTGGCTAACCCCCAAGGGTGAGGCCTCCCCAGGGGAAACCAGATGCCACCAGGCCTGGGGTCTCCTGAAGAAACCTTCCACTCACCGAGTGGTCCGTGGAGTCCCTACTTCACAAACCACACCGCCTCTCCAGTCCCACCCCCTTGCCGCAACTTTCGTCTTCTTGCTAATTCTGCACCTAAGCATACGCAGACAACTGAGCGCATTTGCTAATCCCGTTTGCACCAGTCACTCTAAACGTGAAAGGCGTCTTCGTCGCCCCAAAGGAAGACACTGGCTGTGCTACGGTTGTGCTTGCAAGAACGGAATGTGTCTTCCGCTTTCATACCCATTTCCTGGGTTACGTCAAAATGGGGGGGCGGGGGTAAGTATGGAAAGTAAGAAAAAGAAGATGCCAAGAAGCCACATACAGAGACAGGGCAGGAACACATGAATGAAAAGGAAAGGCAGGGGAGAAAGTCACAAAGACCAGCCGATTTCCAACAAACTCCCTCAGCGAGGACCCGGTGCTAAAGGACACAGGTGTGTGGTTACAGGCCATGTGACGTGGGGGCGTCCCCAGGGCTCGCACCCACTGGCCCTGTCACTCCACTGAGTCCCTCCCAGGATGGAGGATGGAGGGGGATGCCGGGCTGCACTCACCTCCGACCTCTCCCGGTGGGTGCTCACAGACTCCACATGCAGGTAGATGGACTCTACACGGCAGCCTGCGTGAGGGTGGGGACAGAAGTTGGCTTCTGGTTCAAGGGGACAGGCCACCTCCACTCCAGAGTCACCAGGAGCCACTGTCCCAGGGAAGCAGGGCGTGGCAGGGGCTGCGTCACCGCACTCACCGTAAGCAACAGGTGTCAGTTTGAGGACGGTGTGCAGGGGGCATTTCAGATAAGGCATCTCCTCTGAAAAGAACAGAAAGGGCCTCACGATGAGCCACGAGCCTTGAGGACGGACACTCACAGGTCCCCAGGGAGAGCTTCGGCCACGGCGTCGGTGCCCTCGGGGTCCCGGCCGAGCGTGTCTCCGTCCCCCACCACCCCACACACAGGTCCCTCCTGCTCAAGGTAGGCGGCCCTCGGAGAAACCCCTAGCCAAAAGAACACGATCAAAACCAACCCCAAACCCGCCCTCACGCAGTGCGTTAGAGTTCAAAAGTCATTCCCCAGTTCAGGTGCGTGGGGATTCGGGTGAAACTTGGATAGACACAGCCTTAAATTTTAAGTCTCTTAAGTCTCATGAATTTTCTGGGTGCTTTGTTCTTTAGAGGTGGGCTGAAGCGCTGCCCCCGGCCCCCAGCCCAAAGCCCCCTGAGAAGTGAGTAGCTGAGGACCTTCAGGAGGCTGTTTCCCGAAGCCCTTAAGCCCATCAGACTGTGCATCAACTGTGCTCTGAAGGCCTTCCGAGGGCTGGCTGGGAAGCCCTGGGCCGGGAGGCTTGCCCCAACACCCAGCAGCACAACAGATGACCCGTGTGGCCTGGGTGGGGAAGGCCTTGGTCTGCAGCAACCCCACACCCCAAGGCCAGTCTCCATCCTCCCTCTTGGGGAGCCCAACTGGCTCCTAATCGCCCCCACCACCCCGAGGAGGCTTGGGAGGACGGCGGTACCTGCACTCTTATCCAGGAAGTAGGCCAAGAGGCAACGCAGGACGGCCTGATGGCAGATGACCAGCACGTTCTCCTGGCGCTCCAGCTCCATGATCACCGGCTCCAGGCGCTGGACCAGGTCCTGGTAGGACTGCAAGACAGACGGACAGGGATGCTGCACTGGAATAGAGGGGCACGCAGGAAGGGTGGGGGCCACGCCTCCCTGTGGTTAGAAACCAGAGGACACGGAATCAACTGAGAATCGATCCACAGCCAGTGGTGTTTCCGTGATGCACTCCTTCTGGGCGCCGGGGGACCCACCTCCACTGGCTTCCTAGAAAAGGGAGACTGTCCCCCTGTGGGTGAGGATGTGGAGAAGCAGTCCTCCGAGAGGAACTTTGTAAACCATCCTCTCTCACGGCTGCTCCCTGATCCTCCACACGGGGGAGGGAATGACATCCTGACACACGCTTACAACGTGGAGGATGCCTGAACACGTTACACTAAGTGGAAGACGCCGGACACAAAAGGCCACGTGTGGTACGACCGCATTTCTACGAACGGTGCAGGACAGACGTCCAGCCAGCGCACGTACCTCCCCGGTGGGGTAACGGTAGTAGTACTTGTCCTGCTCCCGCAGAGCATACTCCTCGGGGTAGGTGTCCTTGATCTCCTCGTACGTCATCTCCTCGCAAACACCCTGGTGGGGACACCCAGACGTCACTGCGCGTCGCTCAACACAGCACGTGCACGTCTGCAAGGGCCCTCACTTTGGGCAAATTCGGTGGGAAGAGACCTCCACTCCGCCCTCCCGCGCCCGCGCCCCGCCTCCCACGGCCGAGGTCGGGTCCCGGCACTCACAGCATCGATCTCGTTGAGCGCCTTCCACTGCTCGTAGGGAAGATGAAGGGCTTCTGCCGTCTGGATGGTACTTTTCAGCTGGCTGGTCCACACCTTGAGGTCCTTCAGGTTCTGCTCCTCCACAAATTTGCTCAGGGCATTCGCGAACTGAGAGGGCACGGGACGGGAGGGACACGCGCTGGACTCAGGCTCCTGCCCTCCCCCCACCGCCCGAGAAGCAGTGCAGGACTCGTCCCACTCCACGGCTGGGACACTGCTCTGCTGTCATCAGATCAGCGAGGAGGAGCCCGGGAGCCACTGAGGAGCAGCCCCTGCAGGCACATCCTCCCCGAAGACCCGGGGACCACCCCCCACGTGCGCGCTACACACCTGGGGACGCACCCCATCCCTCAGCAGCCCGCCCTGTCCCCTGCTCCCCCCCTACCTTCCTGCCCCTGCTGGACAGACCCGAGTCCCCTCCGATCTTCCCCTGGAGGTTGTGCTCGCTCTCGCCGTGCCGACACAGGTAGATGGTGCGGGGCTGCACGTGGATGTTCATCAGGTAGTACACAATGCGGCTCTGAATGTGGTCCTGAACTCTGTTCACCAAGAACCGCCGGCCCACGTCGATCACCTTGATCAGGGATAGGTCCCTGCACAGGAAGGCAAGCAGCTGACCCGCAGTGCCCGGACCGCACAGCCCAGTCCAGCCGGCCCGCGTGTAAAACCCGGGGCCCCAGGCCCGTCGCAGAGACTCAGCCCCAACAAAACCACCACGTCTGGCCGTGAGCTCTGTGAGGGCACAGATGGAGTCTGCCGTCTCAGAGACAGAGAGTAAGTGTGCAGGGCGTGGTCAAGAGGCCGCTGCCTCCCAGAAGAGGGGAGGGGTTTTATTATTTTATTATTTTTACTTATTTATTTATTATTTTATTATTTTATTATTTTTTAAAATATTTTATTTATTTATTTGAAAGAGAGAGAGAATGAGCAGGGGGGAGGGGTAGAGGGAGAAGGAGAAGCAGGCTCCATGCTGAGCAGGGTGCCTGACATGGGACTCGATCCCAGCACCCCTGGGATCATGACCTGAGCTGAAGGCAGTCGCTTAACCAACTGAGCCACCCAGGCGCCCAAGGGTTTTTTTCAAAAGATGTTTTAAAAGAGAACTGATGAAAGTATCCAGGAGCAAGTGCTTTGTGGGGACAGCAAGGAAACATTAATGTGGGGGGACTCAGAAACGGTCATCTCTTAGGAATTACCTGTCACATTTGTCGGGGTCGAGGGGCTGATAGCTGGCTTCATAGCAACTGATTCTCTTCATGAAGTCGTCCATAGCTTCTGCTGAGTTGCAATCTTTGTAATCCGGGCTGGAGATTTTAACTTCCTGTAACACCACAAAGAGGCAGCTGATGAATCACGCTGTGAAGGCTTTCTGCTTAGACGAAGCAGGATTTGGGGCTTGCAAACAGGGAGAGTACAGAGCAGCTCAGAATAATGATGATCCTACCCAGCATTTAAGAGGAAAAAAAGAAATATACCAGGGGTTGAGTCAGAGCCGGATGACTACACTGGGAAAGCACCCACGGGAGACAGAGGATCGCTCCCTGGAAGGATGGAGACAGGAAACCCACAAGGATTCTAATGAACACATCTGAATGGGCCATGATTCGGGATCAACCCAGTAGCCAGGTCGCCACCAGACCGCCAACCCTCAACTCGAGTTTTGGATAAGCACAGTAGGCTGCCGGTTAGCAAAGGCGCACTCTGGAGAAGCTAGCGAGGCCCTGCCCTACGCACCAGGCACGATTCTTCCTGCCACCACCCATATGGGGCTTCACGTGCTTGTCACTGGTCCCCAATTAGTACTTCTCCACCTGGCCCACACGCCCTGTCCTTTCGAAGGTTTGCTCTCCTGGGAAGGAGGTGAAGCAGAAACAACCCTCGGACCCGCCATCTCCTGTAAGTGATAGGTCTGAGCAATGGGGCAGATTTGAGGGAAACTCAGAATTTGTTAATGCAGGTGTTCTCTTCCTCTACAACAACTAGTACTGCCACGAGAGAGGCCGCCACTCTTCAAAAACCCGAGTTCAGTAGGGAGTTAGGTGCTTCACGGTGCAGAGTCTCAGTCTGGGGAGATGAAAACGTTCTCCCCATCGCGGGGGGTGACCACTGCATCAGAGATGTGAGCGTGCTGAGTGCCACGGGCTGGAACACTTACACGGGTCAGACAGCAAATCTGGTCTTATGTATATTTTACCACAGTGAAAAATGATCTAAGTTCCCAAACCCCTTTCTCCCTAGCACGGCCGCCACAAAGAGCGCAGTGGGAAGGCCTAAGCTCCAGAGCTGCTTCTGGGCTTAAGCAGAGCCACAGATTTCTGAAGTGGGGCAAATGACCAGATGTGTTAACAGAGCACAAGATAAGTGGTGAGCGGGCGCCTGGGTGGCTCAGTTGGTTAAGCGGCTGCCTTCGGCTCAGGTCATGATCCTGGAGTCCCGGGATCGAGTCCCACATCGGGCTTCCTGCTCGGCAGGGAGTCTGCTTCTCCCTCTGACCCTCTTTCCCTCTCGTGCTTTCTATCTCTCATTCTCTCTCTCTCAAATAAATAAATAAAATCTTTAAAAAAAAAAAAAAAAGATAAGTGGTGAGCTTCCAGCCGAGCACATGGGGACTGCTCACTGTGGAAAATTTAACTATGCACCTGCACTGTGCCTCGCTACCAAGTGGGACTAGGAGAACCAAACCGAAGAAACACAGCAAAACCCTCTGTTCCGATTACAGCAACTTCTGTCCTACGTCCCCGTACTTTGAGCCTCTTCCTTTGGACGCGCTGAAACTAATCCGGACTGATTTTCCACAATTTGAATAGCCCTTCCTGAAATATGAACTCATTTCTTAGAAAAGCCTGTAAATATTCCCACTACCTTGAAGAAAAGTTCCAAGGCCAGAAGCCAGTGAATCTTCAGCAACCCTCTAAAGACGCACGCTTGTGTACAGCAAACCAGAACCTTCCCTGTGCAAGCATCAGACCTGCTTTTCATTGGAGACACATCTTATTCTCATGTATTTAAGCTGGAGAGAAAATTACCTACTTGAGAAGGTGACCTGTAGTAAAGTCTTCATGGTAACGGTTTCCATTTATGATATATTGCTCTCGAGTGGCAAAATTTAAGAATTAATTAAATTAAGCTGCCAATTATCCTCAACTGATCTGGGCAAACCTCCCCCTTGGCACTGGGAGAGGAGAAGGGAAAGTTGCAGATGTAAAAGCAGGAAGACTGTTTTACTACCTCCATTCTTCCCACTCTTGGGGGTTCTGCCTTTTACGCTGGCTGTGTCCTACGAAGTTTTATCGATACTCGATCATTCTTACTGATGAAGGACCTTAACAGCTAAAGAGTCCAGCCCGCTTTCTCCTTTCCCATCTGGAGGGTTAAGTTGCCCTTTGTCCCAAGCAGCCCTGTCCCCACTCGGCTGCCAAGCTACTGCCGCTCACAGAAACTGTTCCCAGTCCCCTGCTTTATCTCTTATGTCCCGCAAAGACCGCTTTCTGCCAAATGTCTGCAAGGACCCCAGATAAAGCCAGTCGAGGTCACAGAACATGCTTCTAAATTAAATACCACTCTGTACTTCCCGCCTCCCTGGATCCCACCTCTCAGACAAAACCAACAAGCTGGGATAGTCAGCTCGCTCTCAGCGTCTAGTTATTGCTCTGGGCCAGATCTGGTTCCCCACTTTTCTCTCACTGCCACCCTAGAGTGGGGTCCTGTGTGGTCTTACCATGATGTTGGAGGCTACAACCATAGGGTCATCGCACACAGACTCAATGAAAAACACCTGGAAGAAAGCAAAGCGAAAAGTTAGGAAACAACAAATGTGATTAACACAAAGGGCTGACTTTGGTGTCACTGTGATGTCCTCACCACATCTGAGGAGGAAGTACCCCGTTTATAAATACCCAAACACGTAAAATGAACCACTTGCTCAATCCCGAGTCCTTCGCCCTCCCTGCTTCCTAGTCACGGTAACCCCTCAGAGGCCCCACCGGTAAGGCCCAAACTGTAGGCAGCAAAACAAGGGCAGTAGGAGGTAAAGAACCAAGCATGGAGCAGAGGTGCCCCAGATATGGGAATCAGCCAATCCCTGAGTTGCTTGTTTTCCCTGCTCCTGCATACTCCAGAGCAAGACAAGAAGTCTGGCTCACCTTGAAATCATTTTCTTTGGCAAAATGAAGGATCATGTGTCTCCTCTCTCTCGTAGTATTGGTGGCATCGAAAACCTAATAGGGAGAAAGAAGGGCAGTGAAGAGAGCCCAAGTTTGAGATGAATAGTATTTACCAAGCCACAAGTAGGTCAGCCTACTTGTCACCTCTAGGTGTAAGCCAAAAATGTGGTTCCAGGAGAGACCACGCCCTGCTCCCCCCCCCCGCCCCTCCCACTGCCTCGGGCACTCAGGGACAGATGGGCAGGTGGGAAGAGAACTTAAAGCAAATGAACAACAGCGAGGCACGGGGGAGGGACCCTGGCTACCATGGCAGGAGCCACCCCAGGTCCAGCCTGCCTCGGAGGCTGGGGCCCTCACACAGGAGTGGGTGCAGAGCACACCAACCAGCTGTGCTCCGAGTCCGCTCCCAGTTAACCACCTTCCTGGGTCCTGTGCTGCTCTAGCCCCTTGCCCCCCCCCGCCGAACTCTCAGGCCCAGGCACCTGTCCCTATTGGAGGTGTCCCTGCAATGGCTCTCAGCACTGCTCTGGCCCGCGTCTACATCTTCCTCTCTCCAGAGCACCATCCCGCTACGATGCTGGAGCAGAGCTGGCCAAGTCCCCAGACTTACTGCAATTTGGCCCCCTTCCTTCGTCAGGTAACTTTTGACGTCTCTCAGGGCAGCTAGAGCACACTGCCTGCAACACACAGAAAGAGAATCCATGCCTCAGACCAGCCCAGCCCACGGGGGACACCCAAGCAGCCCCCCAACTCCTCGTGATGAACAGGGTGACCGGCAAGTCTACCGCTAAACTGCTAGGCCCAGCCCGCACAGACCCAGAGGCCTCACACATGTGGCTAGTCACCCTCGGGAGACGATGCTCATGGCTGGCTGCACACTGAAATCTCACGGGGAGCTTTTACAGAACTGAGGCCCAGGTCCTGCCCAGAGATTCTCACGGCACTAGGTAGGGGAGGGCTGGCTTCAGGATCGCCCCAAGCTCCCAGGTGAGTCTAAAGAGCTGTCAGGGCTGGGCACCATGGCACTTGGGTTTCATGATCCCCCTGGGCTTAAAAAAAAAATCCTTTTCAAATGTCAACAGAAGATTTTCCACAAAAATGATTTTGTTCATTCTCAGTGAGACATGGCTGTTGATCTCTGTCAACCGTCAGCTGAACCGGACCCCCTGGGAGCAGATGAAGGAGTGAGTCCCACAGAGGCCAGGACTCAGCCTAAGACACTCAGAGGTGGGGTCAGACCTCCTCCCACAGGCCCGCTTCCTGTTTCTCTTACAGAACCTGCCCCCTCAGGAAGCAAAGCAAACGGAAGTCCAGGCCCCCGCAGCAGCCCGGGCCTTACTTGCGGACTTTCATGGCTTCCTCGTTGTCGGGGCGGAAGAAGCTGTAGGAGCTGTAGTGCTTCACGGCCTCCCGGCGGTACTCCCCGACGTTGAACACTGCGGAGGCAAAGACAAGGGCCCTCAGCTGACCCCCGGGGAGGAAGGAGCCGCACACATCCGCAACTCTCTCGAAAAAAGGAAACCACGCCAACCTGAACGAGATGGCGCTAAGACATGGACACCAGGAAGTGGACCCCCGTGCAGGGCCGTGAGCCGGGAAGGCAGCCCAGCAACCCCAGGCCCAACGCTGCTCATGGCGGCCTGCTCTCCCGCCGCCCCGGCGCAGTCCAGCCTCGGGAGACCGCGTGACGCGGTGACAGGGGCAAGGATTTCTGCGCACGGCCCCCAGCACAGCGCGGGGTCTCGCGCCTCCCCCGGGGTCCAGACGGGCCGTTCCCCTGCTCACCCAGCAGCCCCCGCCCGGCGGAAGCACAGGGCGCTGGCGGGGCACTCGCTGTGTGACACGCGGCGCTGGGCACCGCGGGGGACAGCACATGCCCAAAGGAGGCCGGCCGACCTCACGACCTTCCCCGGGTCGTTGCAAAGACCGGTCATAAAAAGGTAACGGATGGTATGGAGCCCTTTGTGACAGTCAGGAGAAGGATGTCACAACGAAGTGCTATTGGAACTTGAGGGGCACGGCTCCCCACAGACTATGCAGCCAGAGAAGAAGCACCCCAACAAAAGTTAGGGTACGTACACAGCGCGGTGAGTGACACAGCCAGAAAGGGTCCCCCGCAGCCACGGGGGACAGGCCAGCCCCAAAGTGGCCCTGCAAGGCAGGTCCCGGCCGCCATTTCTCCCTGTCTCAGGGGTAGGCGAGCAAGACTGCAGCAATCAACGTGACGAGCCTGGCCCTGGCCCGTGGCCTCACCTTTCGTGGGGACGCCAATCCAGTTGAGGTAGCGAGTCAGCTTCTTTGAGATGTACGTCTTGCCCCGGGCTGGGAGGCCCACCATGACAATCACGGTGGGGGAGTTGGTCAGCTTCGGCCCACAGGCTAGGGGGAGAACAAAGAAAGGTGTGAGGGATGAAGCAGTGCGTGATGATGAACAAAATCCTGTGCCCCACGGTGAACGTTCAGGAATTCTGCAAAAATTCCTATTTCATTCCCACCTCAAAGCCCTGGGCATTTTACAGTCCAGCGAGGCCAAGAACCCCTGTTGGCCAGAGACCCCAGCCCCCCAGTTATATGTCTCCATCCTGCTTTCAGGTCACGCATGGCAGGGGCTGTCCCAACCCCAAATACCAACCCGATCCCTGAGGCCCCTAAACCCAGCCAGGAACCCTGTTACTAACCCCAAAGCAGAGGCACTATGGGGGGGCATAAGGAAGGGACTGCCCAACACCCGTGGGGGTGAGGTTAACAGTAGGAGAGGTGTTACAATAAGAAAAAGCACCAGGGAGAAAAGTTTTCACTGGGTTTTAAGAAAGGAACCCAAAGAACCCTGGTCTGGACACTTAAGGTGCAGTATTTCCTTGCCTGGTGTCTTGCCCTTGAGACTCTAAGGTGACTCCAGCATCCTGGTGACAAGAGTGCCAGGGGCCGCCCATTGGGAGCAAGAGACCAGCCAGCTGCCCACCCCCAGCCCAACAACACTGCCTGGTGCTCGCCGGCTGCCACAGTCAAGCTCGCTCTCCCGGGCAACCACCTGGCATTGCTTCCTAGGCACCGGCCACATGGATGCCGGCAAAGCTACTGTGATCACACCACAGATCTAGGCAGACGTCAGGTTTAGCCAGGGGCTCTGTGTCTTCCTAAACAAGCGAGTGCCAAATGGGGAAGGAAGGAGAGCCACCAGGCCACTGACAGGCACAGGGTTGAAGGAGGACACCTCCCCTAAGCTGGACGCCCTAACACGGTCCCATGCTCAGCCTGTGACCAAACTGAGATGACATGTCCAAACACCCACCACCTTGTTCTAGGATCTGCCCCCTGGACCTGTGGGCTGGGAGCAAGGAGGAAGGAAACAAAGCATAGAGGGAGCTGTTTCTTCTTTCATGTTTTAGACCATCAGCGACCTTCTCCATGCAGAGTGAGGAGGAAGAAAGGCCATCAGGGGCCAGGAGACATTCAGGAGCCACAAAAGCGCTTGGCTGGGATTCCCCAGCTCCCTGGAGCTGGGGACAAACAAGTCTGTAGAAAACAGGCATTTCCCTGCCCAGCAGAAGTACACAAATAGAGCAAAGAAGCGCCAATGGGCTTTCTTGAGTCCGAGGGGCAAGAAGAGAAAAGTGCTGGCCTTCCCGAAAACCAGTGGGGACATAAGACACACCCTACTGTTTGCATTGTGGTGGCTGCAGGTGACTCAAGAGCAAAGTCTTCTCTTATGCCTGGAAACAACCTTTACTCTACTAATCCTTCCCTCAAGCCACTCTGGCTCTCCAGCGGTCGTATCTGATACGTCTCCACCATGCCGCTGCTCCCAAGAGCATCCAGACAGGCCGGCCCGACGGACACACACACACACTCTCTCTTCTCTCTCTCTCTGCCCCCTCCCCACCAGCTGTGCACACGCATGGAATACTTTTGATGGACTCATGCCAAGTAAGTGGAGACAAAGGCGGACCGATTTATAAATAGGGGATTAGTTCTACTACGAAGTAATCATATGCACAAATCCCTGGCAGTCGATGCTCTGGGAGGAAGAAAACTATAAGGACGTGGCAGAGTAAATATCTTAAGCCAAGAATTCAAGTTGAACCTCAAACCCGAATAAATCATCCCTCTCTTATTCGGCAAAGCAGAAGCCATTCTCCCTTGTCCTTTGGCTTCTCGCGCAAGATTGGGCGGAGCTGTGAGAGGGGCCGGGTCTCAGAGCAGGGAAACCTTTTGACTAAACTTTGAGTCTTACTCTCCTTCACCCCTCCCCACTCCTTTTTTAAACCCACAGGTGAGCTCAAGTGCCTTCATGCTAGCATCACCTGCCCCTGCCTCAGTTCCCCCTAGACCCTCAGTTTCTTCTTCTCTGCAGACCTTTTTAACCCACAGAAGAAGAGCGTCTCCTTCCACCTCTCCTACCACATTCCCTGGCGCTCTGCTGTCTCCTCTTCTCCCCCCAGCAGCCCAGGGGCTAGGGAAGATATGTGTGGAGTTTAACACAAAATTTTCCCAGAAGTTCATATGTGTTTCATTTCATCTTACATAAATGTTTAACATTTTAACTTCTTTTTGACCCCCCCCCAAAGTTTTTATACTCGGATGTATTCAGATGTCCACGTAAGCATGTTTAAGGGGATACACATATGTTTGCTATGTTGAAGGGCGAAAGAAGCAGTTGTTTAAAGACCGCCGGGTTCACAGACTATAAACACCTTCACTGGGGTTTGGGGGGGGAGGGGGACAGAGCTCAAGCAAAAAGCCTCATCCAGGGACGCCTGGGTGGCTCAGTTAAGCGTCTGCCTTCGGCTCAGGTCATGATCCCGGGGTCCTGGGATTGAGCGCCGCATCGGGCTCCCTGCTCGGCGGGGAGCCTGCTTCTCCCTCTGCCTCTGTCTCTCATGAATAAATAAATAAAATCTTTAAAAAATAAATTAATTAATAAATAAATAAATAAATAAATAAATAAATAAATATAAAAATAAAAAAAAAAAAAGCCTCATCCAGAGTTAAGGCTGACACTTGAGCAAGAGCTCACAGAAAGTCACCAAGTTCTGGGAGCCCACCCTCAACTCCTGTCATTGCATTCATTCATTCACGCAACAGACATATGTGCCGGGTGCCTGTGAGCACCGAGCATTATGTGGCCCAGGCGCTGCGCTGACACCCCTGGTCTGGGGTAGGGAGGAGACAAAGTACAGCACACAGAGGCACAGAGTCATTTCGGAGCGTGCTGAACGCCATGAGGAAGCAGCGCAGACGTCCGCGTGAAGCCCTGGCGCTGGGGCTGGGCATGGCCACGGGGTGAGTATGAACCGGGCAGTCAGAGTCAGCGTCCCTGGGAGCACCTGAACTAACAGCCAGGGGCACCGCTGTACCGGCGGATACAGCAAAGCAAGTGACAACCAGGAGGCCGGCTGCTGAGGGCAGTGAGCAGCAGACGATGGGGTGACCTGAGTGGCTGGTCCTAAAAATGGTCAGCTGGATGGGCCAGGGTAAACCCCCTCGCCCTGCACAGAGGCTGCCTTCGAGGGCTCCAGTTCCGGCCCTACTCCCCAGATTCAATGACTCGCCTCTCGGGAAGCGTGTAACGCACAGACACCAACAGGCACTCAGCAGTTGTCCTCACCCACCACACCAACGCCCACAACCCATGCTCAGAAAAGAAACCGTTGGAAGACTCTTTTTGTTGCTCCCATGCCTCCTTCCACCCAAAGGCACTCCACCAAAATGCCAACCGCAAAAGATGCTAAGTCATTGGTGTTCTTCTCTGCAAGCAGCTAATCATGCTTCAGTGCAACGTTCCAGGGAAACAAGTGGAAGGGGTGTTTCTGACAGAGGGCAAGCTGCGGATGCGGACGGGGTCAATTCCCAGACGGTCCCGGCAGGAGTCTCCCCTGCCATGTGTCTACAGGAAGGTTTGCAAGAGCAAACCAAGCGCTGCCCACAAAGACCTCTGTGACACCAACCCCCCTCCCCCCCACCTCAGAAGGGCTCACTGGGAAGGTTTCACCTACTTGGCCCTGGGGTAAGAGGAGACAGGCCCAGAAAGCTCTTCTGTCCCACTGCTGGATACCAAATCACCCATTACTTTGCATGCATGCTGTAACTCATGCCTCACTTAACCTTTGTCCAATGAATGGCCCTCCTAATCTGAACGGTCTCTGCCGGCAATAGGGAGGAACTGGGCATTTGAGTGAATCATCTGACAACCCTGGGAGGCAAGCAATACCACATGGCCGAGAGGACAGAGCACAGAGTCAAATAAACAGCGTTCGAGGCAGGGCCCCACCACTTCCTCGGACCTTGGCCAAGCTACTTGAGCTCTCCGCATCTTAGCCTCCTTGCCCATAAAATGGAGGGATGCTTCATCAAGGTTCTCAGGAGGATGAACTACAAGGGGATAGGTGTAAAAAATGCTTCCTGTAGCAGCCTCCATCAGCAGGAGTCGTTTATGGTTTCCATCCTTCTAGACACGAGGAAGCAAGACCCACAGGTGAAGACAGGTCCCACTGCACACGGAGTGAGGGACAGAACTGGGGCTCACCTAGGTCTTTCTCATCTGAAATCCTTCACCTGAAACTCAACTGGCGGTTCTCAACCAGTGGCTGATCCCAAAGCCCCATCTGTAGCACTTCCAACTTGGCTTGGGCTCACCACTATGGATTTCTTTCCCCCCAAATCTCCCCCAAATAACTCCAACATGCAGCCAGGGCTGAGAATCCCTGCTACAAACTGTAGTGGCCCCTCAAAGACAACTTTGAGTTGGGACAACTCCTAAACATCCCCCCTCCCTTCTTTCTTCAAGTTGGAATGCCCCCTCCCCCCCCCGCCCCCGCCGTGGGTTTGAGCCCCTACTAGGATGAAAGTCTATCAGGAGACGGAGCATAACCTTTGAGCTAGATTGTAGACACTCAGGTTTTGAGTGGATAAATACCTCACCCAAAAAAGTCGGGACTCCCACACAGAGGCTCTCAACTTTGAGTGACAGTGTCCTAAACGCACAGCTGGCCCTTACCAGTCATTTACTTCCTTAGCGATTGCATGCTGGTCAGTAAATCCTATTACAGTCTGCAACTGACATTGCCGGTTTTGTAAGGATTTGCCACAACATGGGTATAGCAACAGGGTACCCAACTGATGTTCTTTAAACACAGAAATATCGTCCAACTAGCCCATCTAGAACTTTCTGTTGTTGTTTTACTGTTCTTTGTACATGAACAGTAATGTTCACCATGCCATCGTTTAATTAAGAAAGCTCAGAGGAGTCTGCCTCAAGACCCTTAATTAGGACACCACTCAGAAAGATGGCAACAGCTTTAGAAGGAAGAAAATCATTCCAAGTTTCCAAATACCATTAAAGAAGGGGGTAAAGGTGATGGGGGAGGAAAGGGAACCAGGAAAGATGCCCCAAGAAGAAATACCCTCTTTTCCCCATTCTGCTGAGAAACAAATATGACTATATAAACCCAAAAAGACACCACTACTTGAAATAAGGTCATGTAATAAATATCCAGGCTGCAGATATTTTTATAAGGAAGAATGTGTCTGAGACTACACCCCAGAACCACACAGAGGGATTCCAGGAGTGGGCGGGGACAAGAGACTTAATCCATCAGCTTCAGCACCCACCCCCCCCCCACACACACACCCAGGCACACACCAAGCTCTGATGGTTCTCACAGGGATTTTAGGCAAATGTCTCATCTGCGTGTGAGACGTGCAGACTGATACCGTCTAATGGATGGGTCTCTGAAGCCCGGAGGAAGGAAGCATAGCCACACAGTTGTCTGTCTCCGATTCACACGACTGAGCGAATGCCAGCCAATCTCAGTGCCCCCACACAGAACCTCACGCCTCCACCGTGAACCTCGGGGGACTACTAAATGTGTGCACGTGTGGACACACTTACCTACAAACATACGTGTGTACATACAGAGAACCAACCTATATTTGCATGACCAATTACAGTTTACAAAGTGCTCCAGAAATACTGGTTTTATTCAAAAGTCAAAAAGGGTGTTGTTTCTGTGTCTTGCCACGGCCACATCTCCCTCACGATTTAGGGCACTGCATTCCCCACTACCAATCAGGGAATACTGTGGTCAGCCCCAGCGTAGAAAGCTATTTCAGAGTGTATCTGAAAGCAAGAAACAGACCTGCAAAGCCCCGGCCCTTGGCTACCTTGCAAAGAAACCAGTTCTTAAGGCTTCTGGGGCCCGAGAACCCCAGGTCCAGCAGAGGGGGTAAGCTGGTGGAGGAGCGGCCCCCAGTGTCCGGAGCACCTTGCCAGGTCCCCATCACCAGGATGACCTAGGAGCACCCCAGAGCCAGCTCTCCCCGCCTCCTGTCTGGGGCACGGGGGGCGGCGGGGGCAGGGAGGTTGTCGGTTGGTGATTCAGACCTGGGCAAAGCCTGAGGTGGCAAGAAGTCACCATGGCCTCAGTGACCACCCCCTGAGAAACGTGGCAGCAGAGAAGGCCAGCAGGCGGCCTGGCGCTCAGGGGCTGTCACTGCCTAGAAGCCACTTTGAGGATTTGGACACAGGATCCCATGTTTACCTCTCAGGTAACCTGACCCTGCCTGAAGCAGAACACCCAGCACTCGACTCACCCCATCCACAGCCCACCCGGTAGACTCCTGGGTGCGTTACCTGGAGAGCAGGTGTTGCCTTCAAACCACTGGGACCACCCTTTTAATAGGTGCCTCTCTCCACAACTTAGGGACAGAGCCCAAGATAAAAGGTAAACCTTTCCAAAGCACTTACGGCCGATGACAGGGCAGGAAGGTGAACTGCCAGCAAATTTCAAGCAGGGTGGATTGTGTGTGTGTGTGTGTGTGTGTGTGTGTGTGTCTGTGTGTAGCTCACCCGCGGGCAAAATGCTGCCAACTGTGCGGTCACTGATCCACGGACCCTCCCCAACCCCAGGAGCACAGGCTTGGTTCCAGGCAGCTCTCTGCTCGCCCCCAGCACAGGAACTGGGAGAGGAAACCGGGAGAGGGAGGGAGAAAAAGGAGAAAGAAAATATACTGAAGAAAAAAAGAGAGAGCGAGGAGATAGGGAGGTAGAGAGGGAGCAGACAGAAACATAAAGAGGAGATTAAAACTACGCAGAAGAGAGAAACGGAATAGAAATTAAGAGAAGGGACAGAACTATGGAAAGCGAGAGAGAGAGAGGCGACGGAAACGTAGGTGGAGAGGAGGGAGAGAGAAAGGCAGAGAGCAGGGAAGGGAGCGAAGGCAGAGAAAGGGGTGGGGAAAGACCCGCCGCGTCCCTCGGCCGGGACTTGGCCCGGCAGGCGCCCGGAAGAGAGGCCTCGGCTGGGGGACACGCGGGCGTCCCTGGCCCAGCGTCCGCGCAGCGAAGGCTTCCCGCCGGGTTCTGCGCATCCCGCCTCCCGCGCTCCGGAGCGGAGGCCGGGGCGTGCTCGGAGTTTCCGAGTGCCTCTGCGCTCCCGGGGCGAGCCGAGCGGAGCACTGCGGGGCGGCGGGCCGGGCCACAGCGCCCCCGACGCCGGCCGGAGGAGGCGCAGCGCCCGCGCCCCAGCCCGCGCGGTCCCGCCCCGCGGCCAGAGCGAAGGGACCCGCCTGTCCGCGGGGAGGAGCGGGAAGCGCCCGGCCCCGGCCCGCAGGGACCCGCCGAGGAGGGCGGCGCCGGGCCCGGCACGAGCGCGCCGGAGGAGCGGAGTCGGCACTTACGGCGCCCCGCCAGCGCCCGCCACACAATGGCCTGGCTCTCCACGCGGCGCGCCGCTCCCCTGCAGCCCGGCCCCCGCGCGAATCTGCACTCACATCTGGGCAGCGAGGGGCGGTGGTCGACGGGGATCCAGATCTTCTGCACTCGGCTCTGAGTCAGCTCCAAGGGCATCTTCACAGCCCTAGACTCGGCGGCCCTCCGCCCCCCGCGAAGAATTCAGACTTGGGGAGGAGAGCAGCCTGTCGACCCCCGAAACAAAGGGGAAGGGGGGGTGCGTGCGCGGGAGCGCGGCGCGGGAGCTCTCCCGTGCGCTTTTTGGAAACGTGCTTTGTGCTAAATCACGAACGCTCGCCCGGGGCGTGAGGCTCCACGAGCGCGGCGAGAGCGCAGGGGGCTAGGGCTGCGATCGCAGCTGCCGCAAGGCCGGGCTCGTCTACTCGGGAAGCCACCGGGATGCTCCGAGCGCAGTGACAGCCGCGGTCCCCGGGTGCCAGCTCGAGTCCGACGGCCTCGCCTCCCGCTCGTCGCCTCTCCAGCTCTGCTAGGATGCCTCGCGCGGCGCCCAGGCTTTTAAGAGTCGGGACCGGCAGCTACGCAGACGTCAGCCTCGGGGCGGGGACGCATTCTCCGAGATCCACCCCTCTTTCACGTGGGGGTGGGCAACCCAGGAGGTGACCTGCTGGCGCCCCCTGCAGGTCGGTCCCAGCAGCGCGCCCTGCTCCTTCAATCCCTCTGATGACGCCCTCAACTCTGGCTGAAAAGTCCCACTCTCTGAGCTTCCTCCTACGTCCCCTAAAGATGACTGGCACAGCTTCCCAGAATAATCACCTCACTGGTGCTGGGAAGAAAGAAGCGGAGCCGTCCAGTGTGGTGCGTGGACCCCCGCAGCCGAATCACCTTGGATGCATCCTACTGACTCGGCCTCTCTGGGAGTGAGACCCCAACACTCTACATTCTTAACACGCGATCCAGGTTAGGCACAGCCAAGTTGAAGACCCGGGCTTAGGGCTACAGGTTGGAGAGAGGTTGGGGGATTCGGGGGTGGGGGTCTCTGCTACCTTAAAGAGAAGCTAGAAGGGGGATGACGAGAGCGCCTGTGTGGCATAGGTCTCTGGGTCACCCCTTGCCAAAGCTGCTCCCTGATAATACCTGTGAGTCTCACCCAGCACGACCCCTGCCACCCACGGGGAGGGGGCTTCCCTGGTCCTTCTTCCTCACCGTGCCCACTTTCCTAAATCCCTTAGAAAACTTGACTTGTGTTGCCCATTGCTCCCCCAACACCCAGGCCTAAGACCTGGAACCCGGTCTTCCCCCCTCCCCCACCCCACCCCCCGCGTCTCTGCTGAGAGACCCAAGGGGCTGGGCACCAGAAGGGGACAGGAAAGCCCCGGAGGCCGGACTGAAATGGACCGAGTCATCTTGGTCTTCGCTGTCACCATTTACAGTATTTTCAATATACCTTAATCTCTCTGAGTAGAAGGGTAAGTAAAACTAGAGCCTATTCCGACCTGCAATTCATTACCTGACTGTAAGCCCCGGGAAACTATTGGGAGGTGGCACCTTAATTAGGCAAACCCCTAAAATTCATGACATTTATCCGGCACAGCTCACATCCCTTCCTCGCCCTTTTTTTTTTTTTTTTTTTTTTTTTTTGGTGTGTCTGTGTGTTTCCTGCCTCCACGGTCCTCGGAGTTTTGCACCAGCTAGTGACATGGGACAGTCGTGTGGTCAGGCCAGTGCCCACCCTGTGAAGATCCGGGGTGCTTTTAGCGGGGACTGCCGCCCGCATAGTGGTCTTCCACGCATGTGGCTTTAGCACGCCGTACATCAGCACCGAAGCGGTGCCCTGCCTTGCAGAGGTGCCTAGCTCACTCTGAGGTTGTGCTGTGATTGGAAGGAAGAAGGCGGCGCTCCCTGAAATCCACACGGCGCTAGAACAGTCTGCGCAGAGCCTGCCACACGTCGCTCACGTCCCGCTCGGCTCCGCTGGACCGCGCCCGCTCCCTGGCGGCAGGCACAGCTGCTCCTGCCCCGCCCCTCCTGGGCCTCCCTCCCGCGCCTCCCTCCCTTCCCCGCACCCCAGCCCGCCCAGGGGCCGGGAGTGTAGAGCGTCGCCCACCGCGCGGGTGTCCCCGACCCCCACTCCGGGCACCCCCGCCCAGCCAGGCCCTCACCCCCCTCTTCCCCGCACCCCAGCCGGCCCAGAGGCCGCGAGCGCCCCAACGTAGCCCGCGGCGCTGGTACCCCGGACCCCACCCCCACCCCCACCCTGCGTCGCGACTGCCCTCCGGGCAGCCGCCCCCCTCCCCCCGCCGCGGCCCTCCCCGGGAGTCCCCGCTCTCCCTCTGACAGCTTTGCTGACTGTCTGGTTTCGGCACTCGGGCAGCTGTTCAGAAAGCCGAGTGCATTGCATGGGACTTGTTTTTCTGCAGTGGGAGCAAATGCCAGAGATGACACCCTCTAACGCCCCAGGGAGAGTCCCCCTCCACTCTTGAAACAAGAGTGGGCTGATCCAGAGAAAAACATCAGCGAACGAGCGCTGGAGCCCTCGGGAAAGTTGCTGGCTGGGGTTCGCTGGGGTCAGGGAGGGGGCCCGCTGTGCGCGTGTGAGTGGCTGCACCCCTCCATGCTTGCACACTTGCCTCTCCGGGAAGAATCGGAAGAATCGGTGTGCCTGCTTGCGTACCTGCTACTATTCCATCGGGTTTTTTGCACACACAGCCAGGGCACGGGGACGAGGTGGCACTCTTCCAACCTCTAAGCTTGGAAACAGCTGTGGGTTTCAGCTCAGGGAGAGTAGGTCCTCACTAGCTGAGGCCCATCTTTAATGTCCTGACCTAGATAATGTCTGGCAGGGTCCAGGTCTGAGAGCAGGGGGCAGTTGAAGTTCCTCGGTAAGCAATGGCCGGCCACCAGACCTCTCACTTGCCCTGCCTCTGTGTCAACAATGCCTTGGGCTTGTGTGTCCATGGCTACGGAGCAAAGATGAAATTCTTCCTCATCACCCCCCTGCACCTGACAGGGGGACAGGCAAACGGAAGTTCACTTAACCCCCACTAGCTTCTGAGGTCTAAGTGCAAACAATGTGGGAATACGTGGGGTTCAAGGAAGACTTCACGCTTGAGAATAGGGCAAGGGGACAGCTAGAACCGGTGTGGCATTCACAACACTCAAGTCCATTAGGGTAGCGTCCTTATGAGGACAAAATTGCCTCACTGCAAAACCGTTTATAAACAACCCCACTGCAACTGAATTCCAAGAACGTACTAGTTCAGAGTTTACTGATTTAGACATCCTCCTAACTCTTTCCCTAGTTCTGCTAATGGGCCCATCCTCTACCAACTCCCCTGTCACCAATCTGGTGATGAGACGTGCAGTCCTTCAGAATCGGTTGCAGAGGATATAAAAACGTCTGTAATACGGTGAGATATGGCAGACAGGACAGCTCCAAGTCCTAGGGGAGATTCCATGGTCCAGAGCACAAGTAAGGCTAGATGGAACCTTCCAGATGAGTCAGCCCTTTGTTTTAATTGAGGAAGGGGAAGTTTGGAGATGAGAGGGGTTAAGGAACTAGGTCAGAGGTCAAGACTGCCGGTTATTAAATCTTTTCCCTGACTTGACATAGACATCTGATAGTTCCCCGGGGGACTCGTGATGGGCACAGTTTAACCCCAGGGTGCTGAGTGGAGTCTGGTGAAGGGGGAGACTGCACTGTACCTCAGACCTTCTCGCCTAGAACCGCTCAGCTGCCGGACAGAAAAGAACAGAGAAAGACCTTCTTGCACGATAATGCCTGGTGCAGGTGCTTATAGAGAATTCTTTAGCGATGCGGAGACTCAGAGAAAGATGGTGGAAACAGCTTTCTCCATGACACGCTCTTCCCTCTGTTGGACAGCGTCATCTAACCCTTACCCCGTTCCCCGACGGGGCTAAACAACAGCAAGAAGCGAACCCCACTTGCAAGATCCTGTGCCAGCTAGCCAGATTGCAACCCTTTAAACCATGCCATCCCTACCTCCTCCCCAGCGAGAGTATGAGAGGACAAGCTGCGGCAGGCTGGGAGCCGTCAGAAGTTGTTAATTAGACACAACGTGTCGTCATTTGCTCTTTTAACAATCCCATGTCTGAGAGAGTGAAGTGAGACACCAAATAAAAGACTGAAATAAAGCCTTACCTCACCATCCCTCCAAAAACAAGAGAGAGGGTGATTTTTTATGTTTGTCACTCGTACGTGAATGGGAACCCAGACACAGATGCCCACATGATTCCACCTCAGGGGGTAGAAAACCCAACTCAAAGCCTGCCCAGGGAGGTTTACGGCAGCTCCACTGATAATCACCAAAAAGTGGAAGCAGCCAAGATGTGCTTCTGGAGGTGAATGGGTAAATAAACGGTGGGCCATCCAGACAGCGGGCTATCATTCAGCACCAAAAAAGAAATGAGCCATCGAGCCATGAAAAGATACGGAGACCTCTGTGCACATTATGCAGAGTCTAAAAAGGCTCCACACTGTATGATTCCATGACATGCTGGAAAAGGCACTACTATGGAGGCAGTAAAATGATCAATGGTTTGCCAAGGGCTGGGGGGGAGAAACGGTTAACAGGAGAAACATGGGGTGATGCAGGGCAGTGAAACTACTCTGTCGGGTACTATAACGGTAGATACGCGTCATTACACATTTATCCAAAGTCCTAGAAGGCACAACACCAAGAGTGAGCCCCCAGGTAAACGAGGGACTTTAGGAGATGATGACGCGTCAGCGCACGTTCATCCGTAGTCAAAATGCGCCACTCTGGCAAGTGATGTGGACAACGCAGGAGGCTGTGCACGTGTGGGGCAGGGATATACGACAGCACTACACGTTCCTCGCAACTTTGCTGCAAACCAAAAACTCCAAAAAATAAAGTCTATTTAAAAAATTGCTATGTTTCTGCCAGTGTCATATGCTTGTCTCCCATCAAGTGGACTTACATGTCTCATTATGAGGCTGTGACAATGTTCCTCAGTGGCCACAGCCGAGGGTCCGGGTGAACAGACGAAAAGTGGGCTGCCCAAATCCCACTGAACCCTACAGCAAGTTTCCATCTCCCTCCGCCCAGGCTGCGTTTCTCCACTTTTTCCAGACCTTTCCTTTCCTTAGGGCACGCCCCTGAGCTTGGGCCCAGGCTCTTAAAACTGCCCGTCGGTGTTTCTTATCCAGCATCAAGCCTAGCTACTGCTCTCAGAGTATCTTATACTCCTCGTCGACCTCCTCACCCAAGACCAAGACATAAACTATTTGTGTTTTAAAAGTATTATTTTGTGACTTCAAAATATTTGTGCTGTTTAAAAACCAGATACCCTAGAGTCTAGTTCACGGGATCATACCAATGTTAATTTCCTGGTTTTGATATTTGACAGTCATGTAAGATGTCCCCAACAGAGAAAGCTGAGGGAAGGGTCCACGGGACTCTGTGAACTATTTTGTACCTTATATTTCCAAATAAAAAGTTTTAAGAAAACAAAATATTTAAAATCAGTGAGAGTTCAGGTTCCTC